CAGGGCAGGGGGGCGGTAGGGGAGGGAAGGAATGGGAGTTTGGGATTAGCAGAGGCAAACTATTATATATAGGATGGATAAACAACAAGGTCATTCTGTATAGCACAGGGGAACTATATTCAATATTCTGTGACAAACCATAATGGAAAAGAATACATATATATATATATATATATATATATATATATATATATATATACACATATATATATATATATATATAACTGAGTCACTTTGCTGTACACAACAAATTAACACAACATTGTAAATCAACTATACTTTAATAAAATTTAAAAAATAAATAATATCGCTTTATTATTATCTTAATTTCTGTAGGATCTGTAGTGTTGTCCAAAATTTCACTCCTAATATTAGGCATTTGGGTCTTCTCTCTTTTTTCCCTCATCAATCTGGCTAGAGGCTTATCAGTTTTATTGATCTTCCCAAAAAGCCAACTATTGGTTTCTTTGCTTTTCTCTATTTTTTTTTGTTTTCTACTTCAGTGATTTCTGCTCTTGATTATTTTCTTTCTTCTGCTTACTTTAGGTTTGATTTCCTCTTTTTATCATAATTTCTTAAGGTAGAAGCTGAGGTCATTGGTTTGAGACTACTCTTCTAATATAAGCATATAATTTTCTTTCTAAGCACTGCTTTTGCTGCATTCCATATATTTTGATACATTATATTTTCACTTTAATTTCATTCAAAATACTTTCTAATTTTTCTTAGGATTTCTTGTTTGACCCATGGTGTGGTGGTTATCAATTTATTGCCTCTCAACTTCAAATTCACCCTTTCTGCCTCTTCTGTGATAATGAAGCAATTTTAACTATTTTTCCTTTGACAGCTGGCACTGAAACTTTCTCAGTAGAGGGTGCTAGAGAGATATTGCAAGAGGAAAAGGGGTTTCCTTCCTGACTCCTGCATGTTCGCTTGACAGGCTCCTTCTGCATGGCTTTTTCTAGAATCAGACTCCTGCAGTGCTCACAACCCTTCCAGTGCCTGATTTCTACCATGCGTGGTGGTCAGTAGTACCCAGTGATCAGCAGCTTTCCTCTCCCTCCAGAACTCACCCTCAGGCAGTTTGGTAGCAAGAAGAATGCTTCTGGATCTTGATGCACTCACAGCTTCCCCAGGGCCTGGCTCTTGCGGTGCACAGAGGCCAGCAGCACTCAGTGAACAGCTTTCTCCTGCCTCCCAGCAGGCAGATTTCTGGAAAGTTCCACCAATGCAGCACCACAATGACTTCTCTGCCCTGCAGTGAACTACAGTCATGCCTCTCCAACAAGATCTGGATCTCAGCCCCAGGGGCATTCTATGCCAGCCTAGGGATAGTGACTAATTCCTTTGCCACACTGCATGGCTTATTGGATCTTAGTTCCCCGACCAGGGATCGAACCCGGCCCTCGGCAATGAAAGTGCCGAGTCCTAACCACTGGACCACCAGGGAATTCCCTTGTGACTACTTCTTATATCTGCTATTTCTATATTCTTTCGAATTCTCTTCACATCTCACTAACCAATCCCTCATTATTCCAATCCCCTGTTATAGGTAATTCCTTATATTAACTTTCCCTGTTCAAATTACTGTGTTACTCCTCTCTCCAGATAGGACTCAGACTGATACAGAATTGTTACCAGGAGTGGTGCCAGGAAAGAGATCTGCAAAGATGGGACTTTGAGATTGGTTTATTCACACCTCTGGCTTATGCACGGTGCTGAACTCCTTGCCAATGAGAGATGGATGCTAGTAATCCATGGCATGCCGTTGCATCACAATTAATCAACCTATGGTTGATTGTGATGAAGTGCCAACTGAAGCACATTCCCTGGAAGCTGAAATGGCTGCTGCACTTGACTATTATGGCCATGATCATGACTATGAAGACCGTGATGGGGGATAGATTATTTTGAATGCACTTGTGCGCTTACAAAGAGAAAAATAACAAGCTTGGGTCTGTTAATTTCTCAGCTCAAGTCACAGCCTAAGAACCAGAGAACTTTCATGATGCCTAGCAGCAGGGCTAATATTGCTGAACATCAGACACAACATTTAATTGTATAAGTTGTTGAATTACAACGACAGTTGAATTCACAGTCTTGACAATTTTCCATGTGAAAGTTATGGTATTGACTGTTAAAGAATGGGATCCTGAAACTTGGAATGGGGACATCTGTTTGGTCCCAAATGAAACTCACAGTCTTGAACTACCAAGTCACTCTGAGCCTTCCTTACTAATGGAAGTAGCTTGCCCTTCAGTGTCTGAAACTAACCTTTCTCTCCTTGAAAATGCTGTGATAAACTCACCTGGTCCAGGTGCCTTGAAAAGGGATACTCATTCTCCTCAAGACCCACCACAACCACCCCTACTGCTGATAGACACATGACTGAGGTCAAATCTCAGCATGGTCCAGGGGAACAAGTGCACACTATGACCAAGTTGGAAATTGCTTATACACCAAAATAATCACAAGACTTTGCTAATATATATTGGCAAACATCTGGGGAATATATGCAAAAGAGGACTCTAAGGGTGTTAGATGAAGGAGGGCAGAATATAACTCTAGATTAGGCAGAATTCATTGATATAGGTACACTTACTAGAGATTCTGGATTTAATGTGTCAGCACATGCTCTAAGGGTTTACTTGGTTGGCTAACTGAAACTGAGACTCAGTTGTGGCCTACAGTTAATGAGGTTGAGATGCCAGAGGTGTCCTGGCATGATATGGAGGAGGGAATCCAAAGGCTTTGGGTAATGGGAATGTTGGACAGAACTTATCATGTATGACTTGAATGCAATCCCCAACTATGTTCCATGACAAGGCTCAGAAGACGCTACTTTCACCGAGACATTGAGAAAGCATTAGTGAGAAGCGCCCCTGCAAACTTGGGAAGCTCTGTGGTTGCTCTCTTCTGTAGGCCAGGAATGACGTAAGGGAAGAATGACCCTGAAGACAATCCAGAGATCATCAAGGCTGCCCTTCTGATCACAGGCCCAGAGTGCAAGGGCCCTGGGGGCAGAGTAATTTCAAAGGAGGAGCCGCTGGCACACTGCCCGGCACCGCCTCATGTGGTGGTGGGTTCTGCTACTGCACTCGGCACTGGGCTCCCCAACTGCCCCAGGTGCAGCTCCGGCGGCCTGGGGTGGTATGGGCTACATCCAGCAGAACCAAGGGGACATGGTGCCTCCACCTTGATTTCAAAGGACTGGGCCTCCTGGCAGAGCTGCAGGCTCAGGACTCCAGATGCAAGAGCCATGGGGCTGTGGCACAGAACAACCTGGGAACTGGCTGTCTGAAGCCTTGCGGGCCCAGCCCTTGCCCAGCAAAGCCACACCATTGTGCTTCACCCCAGTGTATCTGGAAGGTGGGCCTCCACCCCAGTGGGCCTGGAGAGCAGAGCACCTGGCCAAAGAAGACTTGCTCAGGCCCTTGTCACTCCTTTCTTCTCTCCTATTTCTCCATTTTGGAATAGGAATGTCTACCTTATGCCTGTCCTAACACTGTATTTTGGAAGCACATAACTTGTTGGGTTCACAGCTGGAGGGCAATTTTCCTCAGGATGAATTGTACTTTGAGTCTCACCCATATCTGATTTAGATGATATTTAGATGAGACTTTGGAATTTAGACTTTAGAGTTGATGCTGGAATGAATTAAGACTTTTCAGGCTCTTGGGATGGAATGAATGTATTTTGCATGTGAGAAGGACGTGAATTTTGGGGGGCCAGGGGCAGAATGCTATATACTGAATATGTCTCCCCCACCCCGAGTTCATATGCTGAAACCTAATCCCCAATGTGATAGTATTTGGAGATGGGGGCCTTTGGAAGGTGATTAGGTCATGAGAGTGGAGCCCTCATGAATGGGATTAGTGCCCTTATAAAAGAGGCTCCAGAGAGATCTCTAGCCCTTGTCACCATGTGAGGACACAGGAAGAAGACATCCATCTATGAACGAGGAAGCAGGCCCTCACTGAATCTGCCAGTGCTTTGATCTTGGACTTCCCAGCCTCCAAAACTGTGAGAAGTAAATTTCTGTTGTTAATAAGCCACCAGTCTATGATATTCTGTTATAGCAGCCAGAAAAGGCTAAGATAGGCTTCCTGGCTTCAATGGTGATGATGGAAACCCAGAGAAGCTGAGGCCAAGTAGCAGCACTTAACTGCCAAAGACAAAGTGGGCACATCTGTAAAGGGCAGCATGGATGTACAGGCAAATTGATCATGATGTCCCTAGGAATAAAATAGATAGATAAAATAATAAAATAAAATAGATAAAATAAATAGCCTACTAGATTATCACTCAATCTATATGATAGGAAAAGTTCTAGATCTAGTGGCTAAAAATCTGACTCAAGTCACCACAGTGGAGAGTCAGCTTCTCACTGTTTTCAGAAGTCAGTTCACTGACCCAGAGCCCCTTGATTGAAGGAGATGCCAGGTCCACTCGAGGAAGGAGCCTGTACCATTGCTGTAAGAACATACTGTAAATCTTCCTCCAAGCCTTCCCCAGAGGGACCTGTGGCCATTTAATAGAGTGAGTGAGCATTGGGGAAAAGGAAATACCCAGACCTTATGAGGATTACTAAATAGTGGCTCTGATTTGACACTAATTTCTGGGGACCTGAAATGCTACTGTGGCCCAACAGTGAAAGTGGGGGGCTTTAGGATGGTCAGGTGATTGAGTCTTAGCTCAGATCTGATTCCCATTGAGCCCAGTTGGTCCATTAACCCACCTTGTAGTTATTTCTCCAATTCCTGAATTTATCCCTGGAATAAACATACTTAGAAACTGGCATAATCCCCACATCAGCTTGCTGATAATAATGAGAACCATTATGGTAAGAAGAGCTAAATGGAAGTGAATTTCCACTCCCTTCAAAGTTAGTAAACCAGAAGTGGTAACACATCCCTAGGGGAATGCAGAGATTAATGGCCCTGTAGAAGAAGTTAAAGAAGTAGATGTGCTGACACCTCCCACATCTCCATTTAACTCACCAGTTTGGCCTGTGTAGAAGTCAGATGAATCTTGCATAATGACCATAGACTATGATAAATTTAATCAGATGGTGACTCCAATTGTAGCTGCTGTTCCAGCTATAGTATATTTACTGAAACAAATCAACATAACCCCTGGAACTCGGTATGCAGGTATTGGCCTGGCTAATGACTCTTCCTCCATGCCAATTTTCAAGGACTTCCAGAAACCATTTGCTTTTACCTGATAAGAACAACAGTATAACTTCAAGGTGTTGCCTCAGGGCTATGTCAAATCTCTCGATCTCTGCCATAATACAGTCTGCAGAGATCTCCATAACATTGACACTCAACAAAACATCACACTGGGCTACTACATTGATGACATGTTGATTGGATCTGGTGAGCAGGAAGTAACAAATACTTAAGATGCCTTAGTAAGAATGAAAGTGTTGGTTAACTTTAAGGGTCAATATGGCTGGGCCAGTGCCCAGATATTTGGTCCAACGTTATTGTGGATGTTTCTGTGAAGGTGATTTTTTTGGATGAGATTAACATTTAAATTGGTGGGGAGTTCCCTGGTTGTCCAGTGGTTAGGACTCCATGCTTCCACTACAGGGGGCACAGGTTCGATCCCTGGTGGGGGAACTAAGATCCCGCATGCTGCGTGGCGTGGCCAAAAAAAAAAAAATTGGTTGACTTTTTAATTTTTTTTTGACTTTTAATAAAGCAGATCATCCTCCACAATGTGGGTGGGCCTCATCCAATCAGCTGAAGAACTAACCTTCCCGAGCTAGAAGGAATTCTGCCAGCAGATGGCCCTCATACTTGAACTTCAACATTGGCTTTTCCCTGGGTCTCCAGCCTGACAGCCCACCCTGCAGATTTTAGACTTGGTAGCCTCCATAATCATATGAGTCAATTCCTCAAGATAAAGCTCTCTCTAATATATACACATCCTATTTGTTCTGTTTTCCTGGAGAAGCCTGATGAATACAGTTGTATATAAACGCTGCAAAAATTTAGGGGCCTGCTGCCTCAATGAAGTCTCTAGGAATAAATGGCCTAGAGCATGTTGAAAAATTCCCTCCAAGGGGAAAGACAAGCTGCCACACTTCACACCTTCTACCACAAAGAGGTATAATTCTTGTGCTATAGTCTGAATGTTTGTGTCCCCCAAAAAATTCGTATGTTGAAATCCTAATTCCCAGTGTGACAGTATTAGGAGGTGCTTTGGAATGTACTTAGGTCATGAGGATGGAGCCCTCATGAATGGGACTAGTGCTCTTATGAAAAAGACCCCACAGAGCTCTCTCACTCCTTCTACCATGTGAGGTTACAGCGAGAAGATGGCTGTCAATGACGAAGCGGGCTGTTACCAGACACTGAATCTGCCAGCGCCGTGATCTTGGACTTCTGGCCTCCAGAACTGTGAGAAATAAGTGTTTGTTCTTTTTTTTATATAAATTTATTTATTTTATTTATTTTACTTTTGGCTGCATTGGGTCTTCGTTGCTGTGCACGGGCTTTCTTAGTTGCAGAGAGCGGGGGCTACTCTTCGTTGCTGTGCGTGGGCTTCTCTTTGCGGTGGCTTCTCTTGTTGCGGAGCACAGGCTCTAGGCATGCAGGCTTCAGTAGCTGTGGCACGTGGGCTCAGTAGTTGTGGCTCGTGGGCTCTAGAGCGCAGGCTCAGTAGTTGTGGCACACGGGCTTAGTTGCTCCACGGCATGTGGGATCTTCCTGGACCAGGGCTTGAACCCATGTCCCCTGCATTGGCAGGTGGATTCTTAACCACTGTGCCACCAGGGAAGCCCCTAAGTGTTTGTTCTTTATAAGCCACCCAATCTGTGGTATTTTGTTATAGCAGCCTGAACGGACTAAGATACTTTTGCAGGCTTCTTTGGATTTTGGAAGCAACATTTGAGTGTGTTACTTTGAACCTATCTACAGAGTTGCCCACAAGCTTTCCAGTTTTGAATGGGGCCAGAACAAGCTAAAGCTCTGCAGTTCAGGCTGCAGGACAAGCTGCTCTTCACGTTGGACCTTATGATCCAGCAGATCCAACGATACTCGAAGTGTCTATGACAAAGTAGAATGCCGTATGACATTTCTGGTAAGCACTAATGAAAGAATCACAGTGTTGGCCTCCAGGATTTTAGAGCAATTTGAGCCCTCTTTTGCAGATAACTATTCTCCTTTTGAGAAACAGCTGCTGGCTTAGTACTGGACCTTGGCAGAGACTGAACACCTAACCATGAGATAGCAGGTAACCATACAGCCTAAGATCCCCACGTAGGTGTCTTGTGTGACCCACACAGCCATAGGGCCATAAATAAGCCATGTGTAGCAGCAATCTAATATCAAATGAAAATGGTACAGAAGAGACCAAGTTGGGCAGGTCCAGAAGGTCCAAGTAAGTTGCCTGAGCAAGTGGCTCAGACTCTTGACACCAACTCCTGTTGTATTGCCTCCTCTCCTTCAGTTGATGTCTATGCTGTTATGGGGCATTCCTTATGACCAGTTAACTGAGGATGAAGAGACTCAAGCCTGACTTACATACGCATCTGCATGATATGCTGGTACCATCTGAAAATGGACAGATGCACATCACAGCTCTACTCAGGGGTGACCCTGAATGACCGTAGTGAAGGAAAATCCTCTCCAGTGAGCAGAACACAGAGCAGTATATTCATTGTCCACTGTGTCTAGAGTGAGAGATGGCCAAAAGTATAGATCTGTGCTGATGTGTGGTCAGGGACTTGGAAGGAACAGGACTGGAATATTAGTGACAAGGAAGTCTAGTGAGGAGAGAGGTGAACAGACCTCTGAGTGGACACAGACAGTAGAGATATTTGTGTCCCGTGCGAATGCCCACAAAAAGGCACACATGCAGAGGAGACTCTTAATAATTGGGTGGATAAAATGATGTGCTCTCTGCCTATCAATCAGCCTTTTTCACCATCCTCTCCAGTGTTTGGTAAAAGAAACAATGGGCCCATGTGTATTAGTCTGCTCAGGCGACCATAACAGAAGTATCATAGACGGGGTGGCTTAAACATCAGAAACGTATTTCTCACACTTCTGGAGGCTGGGAAGTTCCACCATCTGGGTGCAGGCCGATCTGGTTTGTGGTGAGATCCCTCTTCCTGACTTACAGGTAACCATCTCCTTGCTGCGTCTTCACATAGTGGACAGAAAGGGCTCTCTCATGTCTCTTCTTATAAAGACACTAATCTCAAAGTCTTCAAAGCCATTCCACCTCTCAGTTAGGCTAGCTGCTTCTAGATGATGTTGTATGTGGTAAGACCAGTTAATTCCATAGGCATGAACACTTTGCTACACGTCCTTTGCTGTGAACTGAGTTTCTGGATTAGCTTTGAAGACTCAGTTATGATGCTAGTTGGGAAACAACACCCTAAAAGGATGGGATTCTGTTTTATAGGATGCAGTATATACTTTGAATCAGAGACCGTTATATGGTGCTGTCTCCCCCCATAGCCAGTATAAATGGGTCCTGAAATCAAGGGGTAGAATTAGGAGTGGTCCCTCTAAGTAGTACACCTTATAACTCACTCACAGAATTTTTGTTTCCCATCTTGGCAACTTTGATCTCTGCTAGTTTGTATATCTAAGTCCCTCTGATTCTTTTAAAACATTTTTATTGGCGTATAATTGCTTTACAATGGTGTGTTAGTTTCTACTTTATGACAAAGTAAATTAGTTATACATATACATATATCCCCATATCTCTTCCCTCTTGCGTCTCCCTCCCTCCCACCCTTCTAGCTGGTCACAAAGCACCGAGCTGATCTCCCTGTGCTATGCGACTGCTTCCCACTAGCTATCTATTTTACATTTGGTAGTGTATATATGTCCATATATACACTACCACTCTCTCACTTTGTCCCAGCTTACCCTTCCCCCTCCCCATGTCCTCAAGTCCATTCTCTAGTAGGTATGCATCTTTATTCCCGTCTTCCCCTTAGGTCCTTCATGACTATATATATATATATATATATATATATATATATATATATATATTAGATTCCATATATATGTGTTAGCATACGGTATTTGTTTTTCTCTTTCTGACTTACTTCACTCTGTATGACAGGCTCTAGGTCCATCCACCTCACTACAAATAACTCAATTTCGTTTCTTTATATGGCTGAGTAATATTCCATTGTATATATATGTGCCACATTTTCTTTATCCATTCATCTGTCAGTGGACACTTAGGTTGCTTCCAAGTCCTGGCTATTGTAAATAGAGCTGCAATGAACATTGTGGTACATGACTCTTTATGAATTATGGTTTTCTCTGGGTATATGCCCAGTAGTGGGATTGCTGGGTCGTATGGTAGTTCTATTTTTAGTTTTTTAAGGAACCTCCATACTGTTCTCCACAGTGGCTGTATCAATTTACATTCCCACCAACAGTGCAGGAGGGTTCCCTTTTCTCCACACCCTCTCCAGCATTTATTGTTTGTAGATTTTTGGATGATGGCCATTCTGACCTGTGTGAGATGATATCGCATTGTAGTTTTGATCTGCATTTCTCTAATGATGTTGCGCATTCTTTCATGTGTTTGTTGGCAATCTGTATATCTTCTTTGGAGAAATGTCTATTTAGGTCTTCTGCCCATTTTTGGATTGGTTTTTTTTTGTTTTTTTTTTTTTTTTTTTTTTTTGCGGTATGTGGGCCTCTCACTGTTGTGGCCTCTCCCGTTGCAGAGCACAGGCTCCGGATTCACAGGCTCAGTGGCCATGGTTCACGGGCCTAGCCACTCTGCGGCATGTGGGATCTTCCCGGACCGGGGCACGAACCCGTGTCCCCTGCATCAGCAGGTGGACTCTCAACCACTGCACCACCAGGGAAGCCCGAGCTGTTTGTTTTTTGATATGGAGCTGCATGAGCTGCTTGTAAATTTTTGAGATTAATCCTTTGTCAGTTGCTTCATTTGTAAATATTTTCTCCTATTCTGAGGGTTGTCTTTTCATCTTGTTTATGGTTTCCTTTGCTGTGCAAAAGCTTTTAAGTTTCATTAGGTCCCATTTGTTTATTTTTGTTTTTATTTCCATTTCTGTAGGAGGTGGGTCAAAAAGGATCTTACTGTGATTTATGTCATAGAGTGTTCCGCCTATGTTTTCCTCTAAGAGTTTTATAGTGTCTGGTCTTACATTTAAGCCTTTAATCCATTTTGAGTTTATTTTTGTGTATGGTGTTAGGGAGTGTTCTAATTTCATTCTTTTCCATGTAGCTGTCCAGTTTTCCCAGCACCACTTATTGAAGAGGCTGTCTTTTCTCCATTGTATATTCTTGCCTCCTTTATCAAAGATAAGGTGACCATATGTGTGTGGGTTTATCTCTGGGCTTTCTATCCTGTTCCATTGATCTATATTTCTGTTTTTGTGCCAGTACCATACTGTCTTGATTTCTGTAGCTTTGTAGTATAGTCTGAAGTCAGGAAGCCTGATTCCTCCAGCTCCGTTTTTCTTTCTCAAGATTGCTTTGGCTGTTCTGGGTCTCTTGTGTTTCCATACAAATTGTGAAATTTTTTGTTCTAGTTCTGTGAAAAATGCCAGTGGTAGTTTGATAGGGATTGCATTGATCTGTAGATTGTTTTGGGTAGTAGAGTCATTTTCACAATGTTGATTCCTCCAATCCAAGAACATGGTATATCTCTCCATCTATTTGTATCATCTTTAATTTCTTTCATCAGTGTCTTATAATTTTCTGCATACAGGTCTTTTGTGTCCTTAGGTAGGTTTATTCCTAGGTATTTTATTCTTTTTGTTGCAATGGTAAATGGGAGTGTTTTCTTAATTTCACTTTCAAGTCCCTCTGATTTTTGTGTGTCAAATTGACAGGGCCATGGAGTGCCCAGATAGTTGGTTAAATATTATTCTGAGTATGCCTTTGAGACTGTTTCTGGATGAGATTAACATTTGACTTGGTAGACTGAGTAAAGCAGATTGCCCTCCCCAATGTGAGTTGGCCTCATCCAGTCAACTGAAATCTTGAATAGAACAAGAAGGCTGAGTGATGGAGAATTCACTCCCTCACTGCCTGACTATCTTTGAGCTGGGATCAGTCTTCTGCTGAAAAATCAAATGCAGAATCTCATCCTGTGACTGGCTGAATTACAATGCAAATTGAATTCCTAGCCTCTGAGGGTGTCTACTATTAAACTGAGGGCACTGATGGGGAAGGAATAGGATCCTGTAAGATAGAATGGGTACATGTGGGAAGACCCTAATGAAGCTGGGGGCATTGTGCCCTAAATTCTGATGAGTCTTCTCTGCCAGTGGGAGAGGCCTCTACCAGGAGGCACATCAATGGGTCCACTGAATGGGAAGGTGAGACATTTTAGGCTCTATGCCAATGAAACTACAGGCAAAAAAAATGGGGGGAAGCGGAGTTAATTTACTGGCTGGAATGATTGATCTTCATTACCAAGGGGAAATTGGTTTGCTGCTATACAACACAGGCAAGGAGGACTATGTCTGCAACCCAGAGGATTATTAGTGTGCCTCATAGTACTTCCTGTAGTGTGCCTCTTAGTACTTACATGCCCAATAGTAAAAAGTAATAGAGAACTACAGCAACTAAAAACTGGCAGGATGATTGAGGACTCAGGAATAAAAGTTTGAGTCACTCCATCAGGTGAAAAAGCATCTAAGGTTCTGGGAGAAGGCAGGGGGAAATACAGAATGGATAGTGGAAGAAAGAAGAAGGATGCCATCGATGGTGATTACAGCCTCATGATCAAATACAGAAATGAGTACTATTGTAGCTTTGCCAACTTTCTTTTTGCTTGTTATATTTATGTATTTATTTTTATATGCTAGCCATTTTCTTTTTCTCTCTCCTTCCCATCTTTATTTTATATCATTTTTATTTTATGTACAAATAGTTGTTGGAAGTTAATTTTACAATTTAGTCTTTAGATAATAGAATATAGTGGAACTGTGACTAAATTTGAGGAATAATTAACAGCCAGTAATGGATACAATGACTTTTGCAACTGTGTGGTGTCTCCTCATTTGGGGGAGAGAGTGATAACTTCCTCTCTTACGAGAAGAATAGTTATATCTTGTTAGGAAGAAATAAAATTGTTTTGTTGTGCAAGAATTCAAAAAGGGTGCACACAGAAGCTGAGTAGTCAAAGGGGTAGACTGTGCCACTTACTGATTTTTGCCTCTTGGCTTCAAATCCACTCCTTATGCCTGCTCTGCGCAAATGGATCTGGTCCATTTAAATATCTTTTCCTTTGCCAGCCCGCACTGAAGCTTTGCCAGTAGAGGGCGCTAGAGAGGCATTGCAAGGTGGAAAATGGTTTTGCTTACTGGTTCTGGGGTGCCCATTCAGCAGGGTCCTGCAGCACACACAGCTTTCTCCAGCACCGGGGGCCTGAAGCACCCACACATTTTCCAGTGCCTGGCTCCTGCAGTGCGTGGTGACCGCCAGCACCCAGTGGCCAGCAGCTCCTCCCTGGAATCAGCCAGCTCACTAGCAGTTTGCCTCCGGCTTCTGAAGCACTCACACAGCATCTTCATTCTCCAGTTCTTGCAACGCACATGCATAACAACCAGAAGTGCCTAGTGGCCGGCCACTCCCTCCACCCCACCCCCCACCCCCGCACCCTCCCTCAGGTAGTTTTGTATCAGAGTGCCTCTGATGACACACCTCCCCATGAACAACCTTCTTTGGCAACCTAGAGGGTGGATTTCTGGCAAGTTCCAGAAAGCAGATTTCCAGCAAGTTCCACCATTCAGAGAACCACGACCATATTATCTCCAACAAGGACTGGATCTCAGTTTGGGAGGAGCAAGGGCAGAGTAAGGTCTTCCTTGGGTGCTGTATTTCAGCCCTGCTCATGCTCTCCTCTACCTTCTTGAACGTATGGATTATATTTGTAATAGCTGTTTTAGTGTCCTTTTGTCTATTGGTTCTCTCATCTGGGTCATTTTCTATGAATTCTTTTTCTCCTCATTATGGGTGTATTTTCCTGCTTCTTTGTTTTTTTTTCGGTACGCGGGTCTCTCACTGCTGCGGCCTCTCCCGTTGCGGAGCACAGGCTCCGGACGCGCAGGCTCAGCGGCCATGGCTCACGGGCCCAGCCGCTCCGCGGCATGTGGGATCTTGCCGGACCGGGGCACGAACCCGTGTCCCCTGCATCGGCAGGCGGACTCTCAACCACTGCACCACCAGGGAAGCCCTGCTTCTTTGTTTTATTGGATGTCAGACATTGTAAATTTTACCTTGCTGAATGCTTTTTTAAAATTTTTGGTACTTAAAAAATTGGGGGACGGGGGTGGGCTTTGTTCTAGGACACAGTTAATCAATTTAATCCTTTTGAGGCTTGCTTTTAAGCTTTTTTAGGCAGGACCTGAAGAGCCTTTAGTCCAGGGCTAATTTGACTGTTAGTCTAGCGCTACTTTAGTACTGAGGCAATACGTTTCTGAGGAGGTTTTTCCACTCAGGCTGATTTGGAAATGAACTATTCCTGCCTCTGAGGACTGTTCCTCCAGATCCTTTTCAGTGGCCTTTCCTTGGCCTCAGGCAGTTTTATCACATAGGCGTGCTGATCGGTACTTGGTTGAAGACTTGAAGGGAACCGTCTGTAGGTCTCCACAGCTTTCTCTCTGTGCGCAGCTCTCTCTTCCATAGCACTCTGACCTGTCCTGCAAATTCTAGCTGCTGTGACCTCCACAAACTCTTAACTGTGTCTTCTAAACTCAGGGAGACCACCAGGCTCCTTTTGAGTCCTCCCCGCCACATCCTTGCACTGCACATGGAAATTCTCTCCAGGTAATCATATGGTTTATTCATGTTTCCCTTCTCTGAGGAAACATGGTCCCATGTTTCCTGTTGTCTCATATCTATAAACCATCATTCCATATTATTTTATCTGGTTTTTTAGTTGTTTAAGGCAAGAAACTAACTCTAGTCCCTGTTCCTGCATCATGGCTGGAAACAGAAGTCCCCAAACTCTCTTTTCTGACCCATCTCCTGAGATGTTGCCTTCTGGAACTCACACTTAGTCATCAGCAGAATCCCTCCATCCTCAACCTCTTCTCTGAAGGTTGAGTTTGCCTCCTCACTCCAGTGGGAACATGAATCTTCCTGGACAATAGTGCAGTCCTCTTGAGCAGTGAATTCTCTCCCACAGCTCTCAGACCACTGATCTAGGAGGCATAAATGTCCTTGCACTTCACACACAGCCCCCAGATCATGTTCCCTTCCTACTCAGGAAGTCCTCTAGCTCCTCCTGCAGACTGAGGCACAAGCTTCAGTCTACAAGGCCTTCTCTGCATCTTTGTTACAGTCATCTACCACACCCCTCATCACTCCTCTTTAGGTTTTGAGGGTTTTTTCCCCTGGCTCACTGTCACTCTCTCCAGTTCCTCTCTTGTTCAGAACCTTGGTGATTTCAAAATCTACATGATGTTAGGTATTCAAAATACACATTCCAAACCTCTGGCTTCTCTGTTCCATGAACTCTTCTTCTCCATTAATATTGTGCCCACCCTCCTTCAGCCACCCACTCCCATCATTATACCCTAACCTGTATGGATAACATTAAGTGCAGCCTCTCTACAATATCAATTTCAAGGTTCTCACTCTTTGGGACTTCCCTGGCGGTCCAGTGGTAAAGAATCCGCCTTACAGCGCAGGAGACGTGGGTTCGATCCCTGGCCGGGGAACTAAGATCCCACATGCCACGGGGCAATTAAGCCCGCACGCCACAACTACTGAGCTTGCACGCCTCAACTAGAGAAGAGAAAACCTGCATGGCACAACTAGAGAGAAGCCTGCGCACCACAATGAAGAGCCAGTGCGCCGCAACGAAAGATCCCATATGCCTCAACGAAGATCCTGCATGCCGCAACTAAGACCTGACGCAGCCATAAGTAAATAAATAAATAAATAAACAAACAATAAATCTTTAAAAAAAAAAAAAAGGCTCTCACTCTTTGACCACCACCTCTTCTTCCAACTCACTTTCCTTTTGTATTAGTCAGGGTTCTCCAGAGAAACAGAACGAATAGGATTTATATAGAGGGATTTATGATAAGAAATTGGCCTATGCAATTATGGAGGCTGACAAGTCCCAAGATCTTCACGGTGGTGACTCAGCAATCTGGAGAGCCAGGGGAGCCAATAGTGTAGTTCCAGTACAAACCTGAAGTCCTGAGAACCAGGAGAACTGTTGGTGTAGTTTCAGTTCAAAGGCCAGCAAGCTCAAGACCCAGGAAGAGTAGATATTTCAGTTCACAGCCAAAGGCAGGGAAAGGTGATGTCCCACTTCAAAGGCAGTCAGGCAGGAGGATTTCTTTTTTACCTGTGGGGAGAGTCAGCCTTTTTGTTCTATTCAGGCCTTCAATGGATTAGATGAGGCCCACTCACATCAGAGAGGGCAATCTGCTTTACTCAGTCTACTGATTTAAATGTTAATCTCATCCAAAAACACCCTCAAAGAAACACCTAGAATAATGTGTCACTAAATATCTGGGTACCCCATGGCCCAGTCAATTTGACATATAAAATTAACCATCACAAGTCCACCCCTTGTCAACTTGACACACATACACATCTCCTTAAGTCATACTTAATCTCCAAATGAAGGTAATAACAAGGTTATCCTTCTACCTAACATGATTCAGCTATCCTGCGTACACCAAAAATGCACTAACTCCTTCCCCAAAAGAGGAGGTAAAGTCCTTGGGTGATGTTTAATCTTCTCCTTGATATCCCATAACTTAAATACTATGATGTAAAGTTAACGATACTTAAATACTGTGATATAAAGTGAATACATCTTATGTTCCATGATAAGAGAATACAAGCGGGAAGAAAAGGATATTTCACACACACACACACACACGTTCATAACAAAATGTCTTATTCCATTTGGGCTGCTATAACAAAAATACCATAGCCTGGGTGGTTTACAAACAATATTTACTTCTTACAGTTCTGGAGGCTGGAAGGTCCAAGATGAAGGTGCTGGTAGATTTAGTGTCCAGTGAGGACCTGCTTCCTGGTTTATGGATGTTCATCTTCTCACTGTGTCCTCACATGGTGGAAGGGGCAAGGGAGCTCTCTGGAGTTTCGTTTATAAGGCCACTGATCCCATCCCTTTCATAAGAGCTCCACCCTCATGACCTAATTACCTCCCAAAGGCCCCACATCCAAAGTCCAACACACTGGGGAGAATGAACTTATGGTTACCAGTGGGGAAGGGTGGCGGGGAGGGATAGATTGGGGGTTTGGGACTGACATGTACACCCTGCTGTATTTAAAATAGATAACCAACAAGGACCTACTGTATAGCACAGGAAACTCTACTCAGTACTCTGTAATAACCTAAATGGGAAAAGAATTTGAAAAAGAATAGATACATGTATATGTATAAGTGAATCACTTTGCTGTACACCTGAAACTAACACAACATTGTTAATCAGCTATATTCCAATATAAAATTTAAAAATTATTTTAAAAATAAATAAAATTTCAAAAAAAAGTCCAACACATTGGGGATTATGGTTGCAACATATGAATTTTGAGGGGCACAAAAATTCAGTATAGCACAAAATAAGGAGGAAGTACTCACAATTACAGTCGTCATTTCTGTAACTGATCATGCGCTTGTAGCTGGTATTCATAACCACCTTCTTCCACAACACATCCCATATTCCTTTTGTTTTTAGCAAGGACCTCAGCTTGTTGTGGTTCTTTACCTTCATTCTTGAAGGATCTGGGCCATTAGTGGCCCTGCCTGAATTGGGTTGTTGTAGTTTTCCATTGTCCTCAATCGCAGGGCATGGTAATACTAAGGGATCACCTGTATTCCAGACATACTCTTTCTTACCTCCATTGTGAAGTAGTTGTCCAATGTCCCCTTGGTAGTGAGGATTCACGCTAGCCAGCACAGTAATTCCCTTCTTTGACTGTTGATTCAGAGACACAAAAGGACCAAAGAGGTGGGGCAGCAGTCTTAACTTTCATTTCAATGGAATTACTGTTGCATCTCCTTGTGGAAGCATTCCTCCCTTTTGAGCTAAGGCCTCTGGGCCAGCAGAGCACACGGTGTGGGAACAGGAAGCACCCCATGGTCCAGTCAAGTTGACACATAAAATTAACCATCACACCCTTCAACCCCATTAGGACCCAGAATTTATTGATGTCACTACCTTTTTCCTGTTCCAGACCTCTCTCATGTCCTCACTTTCCTCCTTACCCAGCTTAAATTCTATGGTCCATAATTATGTTTGATTGTACCTCTCTTACTTCATTGGATTCACTACAGCCTATCTCCTAATGAAAATATAGATCCAGGCAGTGATCACTAATGATTGCCACATCCCAAAAAGAGACATACTGGATATCACCAGATGTGAAAACTATATTCCATTCTGTGTACCTGTGTCTGACAGTGTGTTTTAGGAAAATTTTTATGGCTACTTCTGGGTGTGTGTGACCCCAGTCTGCATGCCCCTTTGTTTCTCAGCACCTTTGCTTGTGTATGTACCTGTATGACTGTGTCTGTATAGGTTTGGTTTGGCATTGCTGTGTGTTAGCCTGCATGGGCTCTGCTCATACCTGTGCTCACGGGCTGTGTGTCCACATGGCATGTGGGTCTCTATGGGATTTGTGTCTCTTTGTGAGTGACTAATGGTCACTATACTGAGTGTCTCTGGGTGACTGTATCTGCAGGTGTCTGTGTTTGCTGTTGCCATGTGCCAGAGTGTGTGTGCCTATGTCTGGGTTTGCGTGCCGTGGGTGTGTGAGCAACGCATGGTCACTGTACGTGGGTGTGTCTGGGTCACTCAGGGGGCTGTGTCTGTACCTCTGACTGAAAGAGAGAGAGAGCAAGAAGATTGTGATCTAGAATCTTCTCCCCTCCCACTCCTATAGGCCAAGGCATGCACTGCAAGAGTCAGGTGATCCACTGGGTGGGAAGCACCTGCCACCTGTGATAAACCATAATGGAAAAGAATATGAAAAAGAATGTATAGGGAGTTCCCTGGTTGCCTAGTGGTTAGGATTCTGGGCTTTCACTGCCATGGCCCGGGTTCAATCCCTGGTTGGGGAAGATCCTGCAAGCTGCGTGGTGCAGCCAAAAAACCCCAAAAAACAGAAAGTATATATATATATATCTGAATCATTTTGCTGTACAGCAGAAATTAACATGTAAATCAACTATACTTCAATAAAAATTCTTTTAAAAAAAGAAAATGAATTCTTAGGTATAACACCAAAATTACAGACAACAAAAGAAAAAATAGATGAATTGGGTTTCATAAACATTAAAAACTTTTGTGGATCAAAGACCATTATCAAGAAAGTGAAAAGACAACCTACGGAATAGGAGAAAGTGTTTGCAAATCATATGTCTGATAAGGGTCTAGTACCCAGAATATACTTTTTAAAAGTCTTACAAGTCAACAACAACAACAACAAAATCTGATTTTTAAAATGGGCAAAGGACTTGAATAGACATTTCTCCAAAGAAGATATTCAAATGGCTAGAAAGCACACGAAAAGATGCTCAACATCTTTCATCATTAGGAAAATGCAAATCAAACCCACAATGAGGTACCATTCCCAATATGACTGGTATAATTTTAAAAAAACAAACAAAAAAACAGAAAATAAATGTTAGTGAGGATGTGGAGAAATTGGAACCCCTGTACACTGCTAGTGGAAATGTAAAATGGTTCAGCCATGGTGGAAAAAGTTTGGCAGTTCCTCAAAAAGCTAAACAAACAAACAAAAAAGCTAAATATAGAATTACCACCTGATCCAGCAATCCCACTTCTAGGTAGACACACAAAAGAACTGAAAACTCGTACTCAACAAATAGATATGCATACATGTTAATAGCATAATTATTCACAGTACCCAAAATATGGAAACAGCCCATATATTCACCAACAGATGAATGGATAAACAAAATGTGGTATATACATACAAAGGAATATTATTCAGTCATAAAAAGTTATGAAGTACATACTATATATGTTACAACGTGGATGAATCTTGAAAACAGTATGCTATGTGAAAGAAGCCAGACATAAAAGGTCACATATTGTATGATTCTACAATGGGTAAATACACAGAGATAGAACACAGATTGGTGGTTGTCAGGGGTTGGGAGGGTAGCAGGGATGGAATGGGGAGCAGCTGCTTAATGGGTACAAAGTTTACTTATGAGGGTGATGAAAATGTTTTGGAACTAGATAGAGGTGGTGGCTGCATAATATTGTGAATACACTAGTTGTCACTGAATTGCTCACTTTATAATAGTTAATTTTATGTTATGTGAACTTCACCTCAATTTAAAAAAGCAAAAAAAGAGGGAAGGAGGAGGAGGAGGAAAGAAGGGGAAGGAGGAGGGAATCTAACTCTCTGGTGGGGCCTGGGGGAGTGGGTTTTCCTTCAGACATTTTTTCCAGCTTTACTGAGATGTAACTGACATACAATATTGTGTAAGTTTAAGAAGTACAATGTGATGGTTTGATACACCTATATATTGTGAAATGCTTATCACAATAAGGTTAGTTAATGCATCCTTTACCTCACATGATGACCATTTTGTTGTTGTTATGGTGAGAACATAAAAACTACTCTCATAGCAACTTTCGAGTATACAGTACAGTATTGTTAAGTATAGTCATTTCGCTGTACATTATATCCCCAGAATTTACTCATAAGTGAAATTTTGTACCCTTCGACCTTCAGACATTTTCATCACAGTAATTCATGAGCATGGGAATAAGTCCCACAGTCCTGAGGGACTTTTGGTGAAAAACAAGGTTTCTGCGTGACCCTGCTCACCCCATATTTCAGGCCCAGAGACAACCATTTATACCTCTTCAACCTCTTTCTGGTTTTAGTTCTTCCAGTGCTTTCTCCCATAACTCTAGAGCAGCACTGTCCAATAAAACATTCTGAATGATGGAAGTGTTCTATTTTTACACTGTCCAATATAGCAGCCACTAGCCATATATGGCTATTGAGGACTTAAATGTGGCAAGTGTGACTGAGGAACTGAATTCTTACTTTAATTTTTTTATTGTGGTAAAATATACAAAATAACATAAAATTTACCATCTTAACCATTTTTAAGTGTACATTTGAGTAGTATTAAGTACATTCGCATTGCTGTGCAACCATCACTACCATCCGTCTCCTGAACTCTTTTCCTCTTGCAAAACTGAAACTCTGTACCTATTAAACAATCACTCCCCATTGCCCTCTCCCCCAGCGCCTGGCAACCATCATTCTACTTTCTGTCTCTATGAATTTGACCACTGTAGGTACTTCATATAAGTGGAATCATACAGTATTTGTCCTTTTGTGACTGACTTATTGCACTTAGCATAATTTCCTCAAGATTCATCCATGTTGTAGCATGTGTCAAATACTTTTAATTAATTTTAATTAATTTATTTGCAAATAGACACATGTAGCTAGTGGCTACCATATTAGACAGTGCAGCTGTAGATAATATTCTTCCATCACTTTGTCTCAAACTCGATATAAACTGTTCTAGAGTAGAGAAAAAGGAAATTCCCCAATGGACTTGTTGTGGCTCAAGTAACTCTATGTACTAGGAATTCACCTAAAGAATGTTGATAGAATTTTTTTTATTTAATCCAAATCATTTATTTAATCCAAAATTAAAATAAATTGGTGGTAAGGAAATAGATGGTTACATGACACAAGATAAAAAGCCTAATTCTATATTTTAAAAAAAATTAAACCTTTTGATAGTATTGAAAAATACCATCACCTCGTGTTGTGTGCATGAGCACCATAGGGTCAGGGATGCAGCAGCTGTCAGGTGGGCAGGGAGGAGGCCGAGGCCTCAGCTTGAGGGACCCCGCAGCCCCTCTGTGCCTATGTCTGGCAGAACTGGTGTGAGATGAAGAGGCAACCCTTCCCAGCAGCCCGGATAATCAAGAGTTTGGGCCGGACCTTTGAGCACACACCAAGATAGTGAGGAGTCAGACAAAAGGCACAGACTATGGCGCTGAAACGAATTAATAAGGAACTTAGTGATTTGGC